TGAGTCAAACCTGCAACCTTGGCATATCAGGTGACACTCTAACCAACTGAGCTACTCTGCCAGGGCATTATTTTCCTTATTGTTTCAATGATAGAAATTAATATTTTCCAGGAATTGCAGCTGCAGTCTTTTTAGCTGAAGTCATTGCCTCTATATCACCAAGGCTTACAACTATAGCTTGGACCTTGTTATACTGCCAGATTGATCAGATTATAGATATGGCAATATATATTTTTTTGAATCATAGATTTTTGGGTCTACTCACATTTTTGCCAGACTGCCTGGGGCCTTACCAGAGCAGTAATAGGAATAAAGCAATTATTTGTACTTACAGTAAATATTGAGCTGGATTTACTTGACATAAAAATGTTTTAGGATACTACTTATATAGAACTTTAAAAATTACACCCTACTTTCTTGGCAAAAACTTAACAAAAGTGGAAGGACATTTGTTACTTTAGCCTATCTGGCATCCACTTATTTAAAAAAACAAACATGCAAGCAGTGTTGCAAACATGTGAAATCTATACATGAATTAAATGTAAATCCCTTAAACATGAGCTTTTATTCCAGTGGCAAAAGACCAAGACAGTTCATATATAAATCATGTAACTCTTAGAAAGAAAACATCAGCATTCTTGCTTTGGGTGCCATTTACATTATTAAGTATGGTGCTTGGCCTCAGATTTAAGTACATGAAAGACGTGAAAGAAAATTAATTACTTAGATATCTGGTGAGAGCTAGAGACAGAAAATGACCACTAAAATTTAGTTGGATGAATTGATAAAAGTAAGCAGCTGGTATACTGGGGTACTTAAGGAAAGCTCCATCCTTCTGGCCAGGGTTCCTGTGTTTTCTACTCAGAGTGTTACAAGGACTGGCTGCATCAGTATCACTTAGGACCCTGGGGAAATGCAAAAGTCTTGCGCCGCACCAGCAGAATTATTTGCACCTTGGACATTTTTTATTGCACCTATTTCTTACTATAAACTTTACAAAGTCATATTTATTTCTTACTATAAACTTTACAAAGTCATGGCACAGATTTAGAAAAATCAACAGCTTGAAATTTCCACCAGTATTTCAGTATTATTTTTAAAAATAATTTTGCATAAGAGATGTTATGCACTACTCACAATGTTGTAAGGATTTTTCTTAAATAACATTTTAATGTCTGCAGAATGTTCCATCAGAGTGATGGACTATAATTAAATAATACTTGTAGTAACCATTCAGGTCAATTCGACTTTGTCATGATCATACTAAAAATAATTGTACAGGAAGAGCTTATATGTGTCTCTGGTATTTTTTCAGATATTTCAATACATGATGAATAAAAGACCATGAATGTTAATTACTTGTGATATATACATCTCTACTCCACTTTTGACCTTAATAAAATAACATCTACTTATTTTAAGTATTATACTCTATTCAAACTATAATGTATTTCATATAGTTCAACCAAAATATTCCTTAAATATGTAATAGTACCTGTCCGTGATGAAGCTTTCCAAATAGTCATCATATATCCCATATAGTGTTCCTATATTAAAATCCATAATGATAGAATTGAAGCTGAAACATTATAAATTGAAGAAAAAGTGTAAAAGACACTGTTATTCATAATTAGATTCTGTAGGAACTGTCCTTGGAACTGACACTGTCATACCAAATAAATATCTACTTGAAAAACCCACTTAAGAAAGAAGAAATATAAAAGTTTTTGAAGTAAATCAAATAAAATGGAGTGTGAAATTTCTAATGAATTATACTTCATTGAGAGACTTCAGGAATGACTTACAAAATGTAAAATGTACCATGTTCATAGACAAAAAAAAATTTCAAAATGGTATCAAATGTACTTAAGTTACAGAATGAAATTCCAAGCTAAATACAAATAGGGTTGTTCATGGGATTTACTAAGCTATTTTTAAAATTATGAAGAATCAAGAATATTCTCGATATTTCTGAGGAAAAGAGCTGCTGGGAAAAGGGAGCTTGGCCTGTGTTAAATCAGGCTTTACAATGAAGGCTCTAGGAATTCAGTGTGAAAGATCAAATATTAATCCCTACAGTAGAACATATAAGCAGACTTTATAGAAGAAACTTTATACATGGAATATATAAAATTTTAAAATGACAGATTGATATGTCAGATCAATAGGGGAATAACTTATTCAATATATGTTCCTATTAAAATGTGTGTCTATATAAAAAAAATAAAATTGGTATTTACCTCATATATAAAAATTAACTGCAGCTTGATTCAGGACGTAAGTGACAAATGGAAAACTATTAAATTTTAGTTGAAAATACAGATTATTTCTCTGAACTTTGATTAGGGAAGTATTTTTAACATTATTAAATATATCCCAACTATAAGATAAACTATTGATAAATGTTATTTAATAAAATAAGCATTCGAAGAGCTCTTAAATAAGTATAAAAATAAGTTATGAATTTCATATATACTTGGTGAAGATATTTGGAACACATAATTGACCAAAGGTTAGTATCAAGACTGTAACGTTAACATGGACAAAAATTTTTTTTAAAAGGAAAGCTCCTAGAAGAATGAGCAGAAGACCTAAATAGGCACAAAAGAAAAACACTAGGCCAATAAAAATGTAGAGGTATCAAAAACCATTATTAATTAGGGATTGGCCAGAGTTTTAATATCTCACAACATTGAGTGTTGGCAAAGCTGTGCTCAAACAGATCCCTTCTAATTGTCTTTGGGAGGCAAATTAGTGGAGAATTTTGGGCATTATCTTGTAAAATTAAGCATCAACAAAGGATAACCTGGCAATTGTCCTCCTAGGTGTATCTCAAGAGAATACTTTGCATCAGGATACATATGCAAGAATGTTCAGAGCAGCATAAGGCTGCAAACAATCTAATACTCATGGACAGGAGGGTGGCATGATATCCTGGCTTATTCATGCAATATTATAATGTAGTAGAGGCCCGATGCACAAAGATTTGTGCAAGAATAGGCCTTCCTTCCTCTGGCTGCTGGCACTGCCTTTGCTCCAGCCAGAGCCACCTTTCCGCCTTCGCTCCCCATTGCTCCAGCCTGGAGCTGCATTTCCACCTTCGTTCCAGCCAGTAGCCACCTTCCACCTTCCCGTGCTGCCCAGAGGCCTGGAGTGGCCAGGGAGGAACGCCTACGTCGTCCCCATGGCAACAACGCAAGCGTCCTGGCCCGGCTGCTGCCATCTTTGTCGCTCAATTTGCATATTACCTTCTTATTGGCTGTGGGCACCGCCATCTTTGTTGCAAAGTGATGGTCAGTTTGCATATTCCATCTTTATTAGATAGGCTAACAGACAACAAACTACATTGAGATGCCAATATAGATGTCTTAGCAATCGAATTTAAATAGCAAGTGTCAGAAGATTACATATAGTATGATACCCACAATACCCATTTTTTATGTTTAAGTAAAAAAACACATAAAAAAACAATGTATTTAAAAATATATATTTGCCCCAATATACTATACTATACATATATATACATACCAACACACTTGGAATATACTAGGTGTATCGGTTAATAATGGAGGATTTTGTAATCAAAGAAAAACACGATAATTTCAAAAGAAACATCAAAAGTGCTTTATTCAAAGTAATGTCCATCGCCAGCTACCCATTTCCCCATCTTTCAGGTAATCTGTGGATACCGTCCCAGATGGTGCGTTATCATGAAGCAAAATTACTTTGCCATGTCTTCTGGAACATTTTGGTCATTTCACAATCAAAGAGTGGTTCAAATTGATTGTTTTTGGTAGCGATCAGTATTAATGGTTTCACCTGCTTTTAGAAGCTCATAATACACCACACCTTCCTTATCCCACCAAATGCAGAGCATAGTCTTCTTTCCGAAGAGATTTGGCCTTGCAGTCGATGTTGATGGTTGACCTGGATCAACCCATGATTTTGTGCATTTGGGATTCTCAAAATGAATCCACTTTTCATCGCCAGTCACAATTCGATGCAAAAAAGACTTTCTTTCATGCTGTTGAAGCAACATTTTACTGATGACTTTTCGGTTTTCCATTTGTCTTTTGTTCAGTTGGTGTGGCATCCATTTTCCTTCCTTTAAAATCTTCCCCTTTGCTTCTAAATGATCAGACATTGTTTGCTGAGCAACATTTAATCTTTCTGCAAGTTGTTTTTGAGTTTGACATGCAACTTCATCCATTAATGCTTGTAATTGTTGGTCTTCAAACTTTTTTGGACGTTCTTTGTCTTTCACATAGAAATCATCACTTTTAAAGCGCTTAAACTAGCGTTCACAAGTATCTTGAGATGGAGCATGTTCACCATAAGCTTCCCAAAGTATACAATAACTTTTTCTTCAAAATAAAGTAATGAATTAAAACTTCCCACAAATGCTCTTTTTTTTGGCACAGAATTCGACATGTTTAAGCATAAAAATATCTATGATGTTAACACCTTCAGCAAATTTGACATATGAAGTTTTGAAGCTTGTTTTCAATACAACAAAATAGCATACATACCAACTCGCATATATATCAACATATGTGTAACTCCATCTATTGAAAAAAATCCGCATTATTAACTGGTATACCTAGTATATACAGATGGATAAACACACATATGCTATGCTTAAATATATATCAACACACACATAAATACATATGTATTTTAATACGATATGTTCTCAAAATCATGAGAATAATAAGCACAAGTTTTGAGACAGTGACTCAGGAAGAGGAGCAGTGGGGTGCGGGGGAGGCAGTGCCTGGATAGAAAAGATGTCAAATATTCTAGAGTTCATGTAGATGTTTATTTTATTATTGAATATATGCATTCATTATATTATTGAAAAATAAATGCATGTTTTCATCTATTCATGCATACATACAAAAGAAATGTATGCATGATACTGTACCATGCAAAAAATTGAGAAATCCTTTTAAAAACAAGTTCTATCATTTTAAGTCAAGCATTTTCTACTTTGCTTTCAGCTTGATGACGTCCTGAATCAGATCCGCAAGCTCCAGACATCTCTGGATGAACAGAAAGAAGTCAATGAAAACTTGGAAACTGAACTCAGGCACTTACAGAACAGGTGATTATTTCACAAAATGTGTTCAATTCACGTTTGGGACCTTAGAGAAGAAACTCTTGGTATCTTTTTTTAAATCCTTCTCTTAAATATCAATAACACTATTTTCATTAACTAGAAATATTAATGAAAGAAGTTTACAATCAATACCTGAATCAACAGACATCTAGCTCTTACTATTTTTTGTAATAGATGTCGAATATCATAGTAAAGACAATTTGAATATTCAAAAACAACTCCAGTTCTAAAAGTTATAGACTTTCTGAAAGGCAGTAGGAGCTTCCAGAATACATTACACAGAAAACAGAATTATAATATCTGCAAGAAAAATTAACTTGTAAGCCATACAGTTTGCTGGGTAGTTGACAAAAGAATCAGTGTATTAAGTAAAAGTAATAGTTTGAGTAACATAGATTTGTGTACATGTGTGTTTTATCTAAGTGATTGAGGTGACATTGAGAAATGTTTTCACCCTAGAGAGGTAACAATGAATGTGGTATAATTCTTGATACAAAGCAAACGTGGGCAGCGGTGTCAAACAATATGATTTGTATTATAAGGAAACTGAAAGGACAAGGCAAGATTTGCACTCAAATTTATACAAATATTCTCAGGAAAGTAAGAGATTGCCTGTGAATGAAGCTTAGATAAAGCCACAAGCAGTCTAGGCAATGAAGAGGGCTTTTGACTTTTTTCTGGGTAGACATTTGCAGTAAAACCACAGAAAAGCCCACAGCATTGGACAGTAGTATCTCGGTATAAATCAGGCTGAAGTAAAGCTGTGATTTCCCTCTGAGTTAAATGAACAAAGCCAACTATAAAATTGTACTTAGAGGAATAGTTCTTGAAGATCTTTGGATATAGTGTGGAATACTGCTTCTTATTTAAGTTTAGATTTTAAGATAAAGAAATTTACATTAGAAAGGCACTATATAAACTTACGTCTAGCTATCTGCAAGTGGAGCCAACTTGTAAAATTTAATTCAGTTAAAAATATACCTGGGCTTCCTCAACACCCCCCTCCCCATTAATTAGTGGGAGAAATGAAAACCTGCTAATTGATTAATGAATAAAGCTTACTTTATATGAGAAATAAACTTATCTCTTTCTAAAAGGCTCATCATTCACTGAGCCTTTCCTATTGCCCCTGTTTCTTTCTCTGACTTGGAGGAAGGTCTGAAGAGTAGGAATCAGAAGACTGGGGGCAAATAGACCAGCTGCTGGCCTTTCACTCGTCTCTGAGTGTGCACTGCTGAAATGCGTTTGCTAGTCTGTATGGTAATGCCTCGTCTATGTTCCGATGATGAAATGTGAACTCGCTTATTATTGCTTAATATTCCTTTTGCTGAACTGGATCCATCTTGGCTGTTTCCAATGGAGCCTCAGTTGTTTCCCATCCCATCCCCTACAAAGCAACTGACTGAGGGATACACCCAGCTAGAACCTTCAGTGTGGACCCTGGGAGGGGCTCTCCTCTCAGCCACAAATGAGAACTGAGATCAGCATTGAGAAGCTAAATGCACCTTCCTCTACCTGATCATGCTTCTTTGCTTTTCGGTGGCTATGCCACATGTTGGTGTGGGGCAGTGAAATGCATCTTCCTCCCAAGATACCAAATACAGGTGAAAAACAAGTCTCTCGCTATATCTAGCCTTCAATACCTGACTTGCCCATCTCTAGACATAAAGGGGACCCACGAAAGACCCTGAATAGTCAAATCAACTTTGAGAAAAGAGGAACAAAGTTGGAGTTATCACACTACCTGATAGAAAACTATACTGCAAGGCTATAGTAATCAAAACAGCATGGTACTAGCATAAAAGCAGACATAAATCAAGGGAACAGAATAGAGTACACTAATAAACCCTTATTTATATGGTCAATTAAACTATGACAAAGGAGGCAAGAATATATAATGGGATAAAGACAATCTCTTTAATAAATGGTGTTGAGAAAACTGGGCAGATACATAGAAAAAAATGAAAAGCTTCTTACATCATATACAAAAGTAAACTCAAAATTGATTAGACTAAAATGAAAAGTCCAAAACCATAAAACTCCTAGAAGAAAATAAACTCTTTGACATCACTTATAGCAGTGTTTTTTGGATATGTCTCCATAGGCAAGGGAAACAAAAGAAAAAAAAAAGGGACAACATCACTAAAAAGTTTTCACACAGTGAAGGAAACCAACAAAAGGAAAAGACAAACTACTGACTGGAAGAAGATATTTGCCAGTAAAACATCTGAAAAGGTGTTATTATTCAAAATATATAAGGAAATCATACAACTTAATACCAAAAAGACAAACAATCTAGTTAAAAATTGGGCAGAGGACCTGAACAGACATTCTCCAAAATAGATGCACAAATGGCCAATAGACATATGAAAAGATGCTCAACATCACTGCTCATCAGGGAACTTATAGTTTATATTGAATCTAAAAAAATATTGCAATAGGGAAATTGAATATTTTATGTAAAATGTGAAGCAATATACACAGGAAATAATTTGCCTTTGGTTATTCTCATGTTTTTAATACCTATCTTATGACATGACTTTTATGGAGGTTAAAAAAAATGTATTCAGGAAAGGAGCTGTGTTAGACAGTGGATTTTAAATCAGGCTGTTGAAAATATTGGTCTTGTCTCCACATCTCAAGAGGAACTGTTGCACAGACTTTGAAGATGTGTGCAGAGCTAACATATGCATTGTGCACATTTCACTCCAAAATGCAAAGGCCTCCCTTCAGTGCCCTGGCCTGGCCCTAGCTTATTTCTAGGAACAGAAATGGGATTGATACGGGAAACAAAATAATCTCCAAAGCATTCTTGCCTTGGTTGGTGCACAGCGCTCCTCACTGTGGATGAACTTTGGGCACATCACACCCGATGGAGTGGAAAGCTTGAGAATGGTTATTTTTTATGTTTTTATCTTTTAACAGATCCATTTCCAAATCATTGCCTATTTTTATTTACTTCCATATTTGTCTCTGTGCCCATCATTTCCTTCATACTACTTTTATTACTCGGTAAATTAATTCCCAATGAACAATGGTATGTGATAAACTAATTGGGAGTGAATTCCTACTTAGGCATAGCCCTGTCATCTTGGAATTTCTATTTTCCAACATTCCTAAATTCCTTGCCTTTATATTTTGTGCTTAAATACCTGATATGCCACTCAAAATTTAATAAAATAACATTCATACTAAAAAATTTTAGTCCTTCAGTTTTAATTTAAGCTTTTTCTTGTTTTATTTAAAATCATCTTTGTGTTTTATAGATGCCATATTTTTAGAGCTCTGCAGATATTGAGTAAATATTTACTTTTATTCTGATTTTTTTCTTGTTTCTTCCCAGTTACAATGTTCTTGTTTGTTGGTTTCAACCTTTACTATTCTCATTCTCTGGCTTCACACAGGATGGGTAAATGCTCTCAGGTGAACCTCAGCTTTCTCTGAGGCTGTCATCTCTTGCTTCATTTCTAGGCCATGATTTCTACTGGGATTGTGGGAAACTATTTTCTTCTTCTCAGAAGCTTTGGCTCCCAAACAGCCTCAGAATTCAGCAGTGTTTTGGGAAAGCTGGCCTTCAGGTCTTGAATTTGTCATTCCAGTTCCCTGTGGTCCCTGAAGTAGAGCTCATTTCCTCTCCCAGCCCCACCCAAACAGCGGTCTGTGCCTGAGTCAAGCCATCATAGAACTGGCATCTTCTCCAGGAAAATCATAGAAAATGACTGGTGGCCATCAGCTCACATCCAAATGGTTCTCTCATCTCTGCAGTTTTAGTCCATCTAGTTCTGTTGCACCTACATGTTTCAAAAATATGATATTGCAATTTGGCCATTTATTTTCTAGTGGTTGGCAGTAGCCTTGTCCTGAGGTAGGCTATTTTTTCTTATTTTGAAGCAGAGGTCCCATCAATTGAATTTAAAATTATATGATGCCACTTTTTTTTAAGTTACAAAATGTAGTTTTCATATTCTGATTTCATCCTCATAGGATTATTCAGTCTACTGATCTAAGTAGGAGTGTGAAATGTCATTTTGGATTTTTTTTTGTTCCCTTAGTAGCTATTCATTGGAAGATATTAGAGTCCCTCAGCTGTAGAAAACCAGATGGTTGTGGAATACTCAACAGTTGCTGCTGCAACCGTGTATTGTGTAGCAGATACTGGAAAATTCTTATACTGGTGAGTGGCAGGGGGAAAGCTCTCTGCTCTCCGTCCCTATCTACTCAAGTTCTACCTCTCTCCCCACCATGGAGACTTCAAGCCAGGCAACCGACCAACACCATGCCCTTAAATTCACCAGATGCTCAGGATCAGTAGGGCATTTTTGGAATAAAAGCCACAGTGAGGCACACACCGTTTCCGTAAGACATTCACAGGTGGCTGAGCTAGGACCTATTAGGGGAACCACCATCCCCCACAAAGCAGGACTATATCTTTTCCCATAAATTCTGCCCCGTCCATCAACATGTGGTCACTCCCTGGTTATCACTCCAATGATTCTGATAGAAATTAAAATATGAGAAGCCCTTTTGGAGTCGCCCATGTGTGCCCACAATGCTATATTAATTATTACAGAGATGGGGCCTGAGGAGGAGGAGAGCAGAAGTAAGGTAGGGGCCAGGGCCAGCAGAGGGTCTGTGCTCAAACTGCCCTCTTCCATATTTCCAGATTCACTCCTGGGCCTCTTTTATACAGAATATAAATGGGTGTTAGTTTGAGTCAATCTGAGAGTTTTGTCTTTGAGAAAGGGTTTAAAATATTTAAAAAAGTGTCATAAATAAAAAATTAGTAAGCTTTCTATTCTTCCTTGCCTGCGTATGTTTGATGTTGTCTGTTCTTTGTTCTCCTCTAAGGCTTACACTGTGCAGGGCTTACTGCTTCCAGTTTCTCCTCTACAACTCGCTTTGGGAGCTTAAGACTGATTTTGTTTCTACTAAGAGTCATTTCAGTTATTTTTAAATTGTTGAATTTCTTAATGGCATCTCTGTAA